TAATTAATCACATGCACAACTATGTCAACCAATTTAATTGCAACAATTCAATCAATCACGGATCATCAACTAGCAAAAATCATCAATTAAGCATGTTTTACCTTCTCCCTAGCAACTAATCTACTCACTAATCATGGTGAAATCTAAAGCCAAAACAAATTCAATCACAAACATATTCCTCTCAAACTAAATCAAAAGGAAATACAATCAATCAACAAATTCTCAAAACTAAATCAAAATCCAAACCAAACATTCAAGAACAAAAGTAAATTTCTATTGAAGTAAATTATGAGGAAAAAAATCTCAAAAACTTTGATTGATATGAAGAAGAATTCAAAACTTGATCGAAGAAACAATGTTGAATTACAAATCAAATCCAAGTATTACATTCTCTACTTTTCTCTCTAACTTCTCTCCAGTTTCTCTCTCTAAAAACTAAGCAAATGAAATATTATCTAAAAGTTGGCCTTCAAAAGGATTTACAAGAGTATTTATAGACAAAGAAGAAAAACTGATCGACTGCACCCTCTCTAAGAAAACCCCGCGGGCACGAAAAAATGGGTACAAAACCCATAACTAACTCCGCGGGCAACCTGGGAAAAACTCTCCAGATCCTCCGCGCCCGCGGCTAGACCGCGCCAGGGCGTGGAGAGTTCCTACCCAAAATCACCAAAATGATGCATATAACCCGCGCCCGCGGCCCTTAGGACTTGCGACCGTGACCATGCGAAGAAGCAGAGCGCCCTCTCCAAACTCTCTACAACAGGCTTGAATCTCCTTTGCTTAGCTCTTTTTGCTCCTCTTGAATCCTTTGCGAAGCTAAGTCATTAGGCACTACAAAAGAGATAAAAGAGAGAAAATAGAAGAGAAAAAGAGCAAAATAAAAGGAAAACACGAAGAAAAGCACATAAAGGAAAGTAAAACATGAAGGAAGAAGAAATAGAGAAACTAACGGAGAAATGACTAAAATGGTAAAAGAAAAGCATGAAAAATATAGCGAAAATATCCTAAAACACTACCCTATGAGTGCCATAAATGACACTCATCAAATTACCCCAAGCTAAACTTTTGCTCGTCCCGAGCAAAATAAAGGCTAAAAAGGAATAAGGAGGGTTTATTTAAGCAATAAAAGAGAGAGAAGAAGAATATACACTAAGATTCACTATCGTAGGAATCACGATTGTTTTTAGCTATAACAAGCCCTTTAAACCTCAAAGTCGCCTATGAGGACGAGTGAGGTCTCGCAAGGGTTTCCTAAGAGTTTAACCCACAACTCTTTTGAAATAAAATTAGGCAAAATCATTAAAAAAGAAAAGAAAGTAAAACCAAAATTCAAATAAATACCTCTTGACAAGGACTTTCACAAACGGTCAAATACAAATTTTAGCTCCTAAAAATGTCTCCCCAAAACAGAAACCAATGATGAACAACCTTTCACCGCCACTATTGGTCGGGTTCAGTATTTAATCCCGAGAGTGCTTAAAAAATTGTGTTTAATTAAGTTCATTTTTCTTAATAATCCATGGATCAGTCTTGATGTTTGGTCAAAGCATAGATATTTTAATTTCAGCCCAAACCTTTTTTATTTTATTATTTTATTATTTATTTTGGCCCAAACCTTTTATTTATTTTATTTACTTATTTTCTTATTTTAGCCCAAATAATAATAAATCAGAAATGGCCCGGAATTATCAATCGGCACTTAAAATGCTAACGAAATTAGGGTTAAAAATGCATTTAGATGGAAAAAGGGACTAATAATTCCCGCGTCACGGCAATAGTCCATCGTGTCACAGGAAACAGTCCCGTCTGACGATGGGATTTCCCGTGACACGAGAACCTTCTGTGACACGGGAGTTTCCGTGTCCGTTCCACGTAAACCCTTCACGCGTTTTATTTCCCGTACCCTAAAATATCTCCCGCGTCACACAACTGTTCACCGCGTCACAGGAATTTTTCCAGTCTGACGGTGGAAATTCCCGTGTCACGGTACACACTGCCGTGTCACGGGATACTTTTTTAGGGTTTTAATCATTTTAGGGTTCTGTGTGTTCCCTCAGCACATTATTTCTATAAATACCCCCTCATTTCTAATGTACGGGCATCAATTAATTCTCTATTTTTTCCTCTCTTCTATGCTCTAGCCTAAACACTAGCCTACCCTTTTTCTTTCAAAATTCCTTCTTCATGCACTCTAAGGAGTCCGTACTTTCACTAGTAGAAAAAGGCTCATTTGCATCGCTCATTTACAGTGTATTTGCGTCACTTCTATGAGCGACACAACTGCTCGCGACGCAAATAAGAGTCATTTGCGTCGCTCCTTTATAAAGGAGCGACGCAAATGACTTTTTTGATAAACTTATTGTTTGTCATTTGCGTCGCTCCTTTATAAATAAGCGACGCAAATGACTCTTCTGACAAACTTATTTTTTGTTATTTGCGTCACTCTTTTATAAAGGAGCGACGCAAATAACTCTTCAGATAAACTTATTTTTTGTTATTTGCGTCACTCCTTTATAAAAGAGCGACGCAAATGACTTTCTGATAAACTTATTTTTATTTATTTGCGTCGCCCCTTTATAAACAAGCGACGCAAATGACTCTTCAGATAAATTTTTTTTGTTATTTGCGTCGCTCCTTTATAAACAAGCGACACAAATGACTCTTCCAATAAACTTATTTTTTGTTATTTGCGTCACTTGTTTATATAGGAGTGACGCAAATGACTGAGTAGACAATACAAAACTGCTGTATTTGCGTCACTTGTTTGTTTAATGAGTGACGCAAATGAGGTGAATTTTATTTTTTTAATTATAATATAATAATTGCCTTGTATATGTTTGTAGTACCTTTTTTCCTAGGTATAAAGTAATATTCTAACGCTAATATAATTGAAATTAAAATGCAATATTATTGAATAATGCAAATGTAAATTTCGGCAGAGTCTCCTTTGTAATTTGGCCTACCCATAAAATTTCCAAACCATGTTTCTTAACCAAATCAACGTATAATACAACTCCAACTTCTAGACTTAAACTTAAAGGTAGAAGTACCTCAACAGCTCAACCTAGAGTTCAAAACGTGGTAACTACTGATTACTGACTATAGTATACAATTTCGCCCAAGCGAGCAAGAGGCATATGGCAGCTTGCCTATTGTGACCAGAAGTGGGACAGAGCCCTTCCATTTTTGCAGGCCGCAACACACTCAAGCACATATTCTCTGAGCTTCTTCTGGACTTCTTCCATTGGCAAGCAGGCATCAACCATCTGTTATCATTCAGCATCGTATGAAAATCTAGATGGCATTATTACGGAATTTGATGAAACAGCAACTATCTCACAGAATCTAGTTAAAAAACATAATTTACAAAAATAAAAAGAACATTGCAAGAAACTGGAACATGTTTAAGTAAAAGAAAATTAGTATAACCTGCACTACATAATATTGCAGGCATCACTATAATGACACTATGCAAGATAAAGTCACCACTGTCAAACCTATTAACCTTACAGCCTTACCAAAATTGTACAGTCTGATGCAAGCTATGAAAAAACTAAGATTTGGTTTAACAGCCATGTCTCAGATCTTACCAAATAAATGGTACGCCCCATAAATTCTTATCAGTGAAACTAAAGGCAAAATTCCTATGATGCCTATTTGAATGAAAGTATACCTCTGGTGATATATCAAGGTATAAGACCATGTCTGGAGCCAGCAATCCTATCTCTGGTGCCTGCACAAAGAGAATTGTGATCATATTGCGACTAAATAGAGATATGCCTGAGTGAACTGGTTGATTACTAAGAGTTGGAATCTTCAAAGCAAGTTGTCAACATACATCACACTCACTCGAAGATGGGTTTTCAACAACTGTAATTACTATATATTATTTCCTTATATCAGCCATTCTCTCTTTACATAATGCTTCATAGAATGCCATTGTTACCAAACCAAAAGAGTTAAACAATACTTTTAATCCTTACACTTTCACAAGTCATGGGATTATGAAAAGTCAGTAACCAATTTTATAGAACATTCAACAGTCACTTAAACAGAGATTGTGGTGATAACATTTTACCTTACACCAATCAAAATCAAGGCCTTTGGCAGAAGAGAAAGCCACACCGGAGTATGAATAACGATCTATAATGAGGGTAGTCCCAGATTTCAACTTTTCTTCCATCATAGATCTGTAATTGTAGATGACAAAGTCAACAACTAAACAAGCATATCACCAAAAAAACAGATTCATGAAGAAGTAAAGTTTACAACTTTAAATCACATTCTGAACTCCTGTCCCAATATACTTGTATATATTTCAAAATCTCAGGGGAATAAAGACAGTTTTTTAAAAGTAATCTATCATAATTCCAACTACAATCTCCAGAATGTAATATAACCGAGAACGAATTACCCAAATTAACCTATAAATAACAACATAGAAAGGAATTAGATTCAGCTAAACATAACATCAAACACATGGTATGCAACTCACAAATTATGTATAAAAAAACAATCATAAAAATAAAAAAGAAACAACCTTTTCTCCCAACGATTAGCACTTAACAAAAGATGAATAGTATGATCATCCAAATTAGATTGATTGGAAAGATAAGCAGAGATCATCTGCCCAACAGCAGTATTTCGATCCGGAAACCGCCATAACTCAGCAGAAAACCCAATACTTTGCAAGTGAGAGAGAAGCTGAATACACTGAGAGCTCTTTCCACTTCGATCTAACCCTTCTAATACAACCAAAGCACCTCTTGATTGTAAATTGGGGTTTAGGGCAGAAACTTCAATTTTCTTGGAAGAATCATTCTCCATTTTTGTAGCAAAAATTGAACAATTTAACTAAAATTTAACATCCTTGTTTCTCCTCTGTGCTCTTGCAAAGTGCACCCAAGAAACAACTCAGATCAATATTTTGGTAATTAATATCGAAATCCTGCTTCTGTTGCAAAGGAAGATAACTGGGCATAAATTATACGTCATTAGTAGTTATTACTTGTGAACTTCACTGTCATGTCTTTTCCTTGTCATCTGCCATGTAAACGGACTATTAGGATCCACACCAGGCTGTGAAATTTCCAAACCATGTTTCTTAACCAAATCAACGTATCTGAAAATTCAATAAATAAAATGACAAAAGTTTTGTACTGAATAGCTCAAGACATTAGAGGATATGATGCAGAAAGAGTGCTAACTTTTCAGAATCAAAATTATCCACTCCCAAATCTTCGTCCCAGATAAATATGTAATCATATGGTGCCACAATGTCAGGATGTAGAAATCGTTTTGCATACCACCTTTAACCATACAATGAAAGAACGGATCAGTATGATAAAATTGATAATTAATCTGACCCAATTGCCTTAAAAACTAGAGTACTAACCATTTCGCACTAGTTTGCAAAATTACCAAGCAGAGACACAATTATGAATCATGTAAGAATAGCCAAAGTTTGCAAATAAAGCTTACTCAGCACACTCATTAAGCTTCCTCGAATTCTGGCTTTCCACAATCTTCAGAATCAAAGACTTGTTTTCATCCAAGTACTGCCAAGATTTAAACCAACCAAAATTTAGAAATCAAAAAGAAAAAAATATTTCCACATGAGAACTAACCAAGCAGTATATATAGATGAAGCGGCTAATAGACTAGAATCATAAGTGAATTAATGTAACAAAGGATGAATATGTCATGCATAACCAAAGTGTATTACATTACATATCAATTTTTACTTCAGCGTAAGGATCAAATGATTTGCAATTAGCAATGTTTTAGAATCTACCCCGGTAGCCCTAGACTAAGATAAAAAGCAATGCATACAACACCATTCCCTTATATAATTTCATATGTATTAATTGTTTTATCAATGATCATTTGATTCACAATAACTTCCTTTTATTCAACCATTTACAAGGGAACATACGAATTCTCCATTTTGATGAATCGGAGATGACAGTTGTTCATGCTTGAGACTTACAAAAAAAAAATTGAAAATAATAATAATAATAATAATTCTGGATTTTTTCCTTTAGATTTAGGCCTTCAAAAGTAGCTTAACAGATAAGAAAACTTGATACTAGGTTTCAAAACAAGTTAAAAACCATCATCACTAAAAACCACTAGTTAAAAAAGTACATTTACACTATTTTTTCATTATTAGCCAAATAGTCATAACATTAGTTGAGTAAGAAATACTGACATTGCCTCCTTTTCAATAAAGGTTTAAACTAAATTTCTAATACCAGCAAAAGAAAAAGGTCTTACAGAACTGATGAATATGTGAAGACCATTACAGGAGCCGACACCTAAAGCTTCATTACAGTAAAATTTAAGTTTGCTACACTTCAATGATTACACTGACATTTTATACTTCCATTTATATTTATATTTATATTTATATTTATATTTTCATGTTAATTCTTGAATTGCTTGTTGTGGTCCAAGTTCAGAAAAGGTTCAATTTCCAACTGCTGGAAAAGTTAAGTTTGGACCAAAAGGCAGATCTTAGGCCAGGGGTTGAACCATGCTCTTAAGGTATGTTGAACAACATGCCAGCAATAATCAAGCTGCATGACAGTATGTATGATGGATATCGACTTTTTGATGCTTACAAATGCGAGCACGTAAACCTCAATCATCTGTTAGGCTAATTACAACTAAGATAGACATAACAATGTATCACTCGACTGAAGTGCTCGTTCAACATGCTTCAATGACTAAACCCGAGATCATAATGGACTTTTTAATTGCAATTCAGGCAGTAATTACTTAAATCATCAAGTAATGTACATTTGTACTAGACTAGAATAGATTAAGGCAGTAATAACTTAAATCAAAGTTTGCAAAATTACCAAGCAGAGACACAATAATTATGAATCATGTAAGAATAGCCAAAGTTTGCAAATTAAGTTTACTCAGCACACTCATTAATCTTCCCCAAATTCGAAGCCTTAAACCAAGAAAAGATTGAACATAAATAGAAGCAATCTTACCATAGGTGGAATTGACTTCAAAAATTCAACAATGTCGAGCCGAAATCGAACTTCAATTGTTGTTGCTGTAATTTGCTTGAACTTCCTCGGGTTTTTTGGGGCGAAATTAAGCGATTTTTCCACTCGAAAATTTCAGTTATTGCTCGAATTTTTGTTGCTGTAATTTCTTGACTTGAACCCAGAAAAAGACGTAATTCAAACAATTATTGTTGCTGTAATTTCTTGACTTAACATATTGTTGCTGTAATTTCTTGACTGAAATTCGAACAAAAATTATTTATGACTGAAATGGGACGAATTTCTTAGGGTATATTGCGTCGCTGCCAAAAACCCTAGAAATCCCCCCACGAAATCCCCCAATCAAACTTGAAGACCGAAATTGAATTTTTTGGGGCTTTTAGGGTTCGAATTTGTATGCTTTTGAGTTGATTTTTTGCTCGAAATGTGGGATTTTTGGTCGGAAACAATCAATTTTTCTGGGTTTAAGGCTTCGAATTTCTTAGGGTTTTTGGTCTAAATTTTTGCTCGAAATTGCTCGAATTTGCAGCCGATTATGGGTCTTCGACTTCACTGCGATTTCAGATGTTAAATTTTCTGGGGAAACGCAAGTTTTTGGCCGAATTTGTTGGATTTCAGAGACAAATTTGTGGGTGTTTTGCTGTAGAAATTCGCTGGAATTTAAGAACTCTTGTTTTTTTTTCTTTTTGTATAGTGAATGTAGGTACCTGATGAAAAACTAAGGTAAAAAACGCAGAAAAACCTAAAGCCAAAAGAGTTATTTGCGTCACTTTATTATAAAAAAGCGACGCAAATAACCTTGTTTATAATGTTGTACAATGTACATATGCGTAGCTCATTAGTAAAAGAGTGACGCAATTTACTTAATCACTTATTTGCGTCGCTTGCTAACTAATGAGTGACGCAAATAAGTTTATTAATTGCGTCGCTTTAATAAATAGGAGCGACGCAAATGATAGAAAGCTGAAATGCACTTGAGTTTTGCGTCGCAACTTAAATAATATGCGACACAAATAATTTAAAAGGAAGGTAAAATAAAACATTTGCTTCGCTCCTTAGAATGAGTGACGCAAATATGGCGACGCAAATGTACATTTTTCTACTAGTGTTTACTCGTGGTTCCGTCCTTAAGCAAAGGCGTGAAAGGTGGAACTTTTTGAGGGTTTGGCCCCAAATCAACTCTACTTAATTTAATTTAATTTAATTATTGCTGTATTATTATTTCCTGGAAGTTACTAACTCGTTTATTATTTTGTAGTTGCAAGCAAAAAGAATCAAAGTAAGAATTATGTTCCTTTTATTTCTATTATTTTTCTAACAATTTTATATTGGTGGAATTATTGTTAAATTGCTTCCAATATTAATATTTATTCTATTAATATTATGATCACCATATTGCATGTTTAAAGGGAATATGTAAGTGAAAATCACGCCTAATAAGATAATTTGGACAACCGGTTTAGGTTCCTCTTTAATCTTGTTGTTTAATCAAGTGATCACAATATTTTAGAATAATGTGTTGCATTAATATTCAACCAATTTAGCCTAATAATAGTTTGGAGCAAATTGAATATTTTGTTTGTATGCCTTTGAGATCGCAGGAATCACTTTTCACTAAAAGAATCGAGTAGAGGCCAATACGGGCGAATGTGACTCCATGACTCACTTCGTACCATCATCCCCGATCCTCCGTTCGTTGTTCCGAACCATATGGAGTTAGTAATTTCATGGATTATTAATAGGGTGTAACCTTAATGGGTCAATCGTTGTTGTCTTTCGTTGTCCCTTATCGTGGTTGCCTTTTTATGCTCCGTGAACGGTTTACAAGTTCCTTAAAAACTTGTTGGCGGCTCCCTACTTTATTTGTCCCTAATCATGTTATGTCAATTCCCACTTCCTATGAGTGCCAAGCATATTCACACATGCTTTAACGTAGGCACAATTCAAACGACGCCTACAATTTGGCGACTCCACTAGGGAGGATACTTGGTTATTTAACGATTTGAGTGATCGGTATTTAATTAAGATGAGTGGATGAGACTTGAAAGTCTCAAAAAATATTCCTGTGATTAATTTGTCATTTTTGCATAAGCATAGACATTTTAACGTCGCGTTTAGGTATGTCCCGTAGGAAAAATTGAATAAATTGATTACGTACAAAGGTAAACAGGGCACCAGTCAGATTTTCTGACTGCCGTGCCACAGCGGAATATGTTGTGTCACAGTACAGTACACCGTTTGACGGTGTGCAGTACCGTGGCGCGGGAATATCGGCCATGTCATGGCAGTCCTAACATCAGTCTGGTGGCTTGTTTTCTCTTCTCAGAGTCAACTTCCTTCGATTTTTCTGAAAAAACGTGTGTGTTCTACATGCGTCTTAGCCCCAGGGGATTTAAGCTCTATCAACCCAAAAACGCTCATGGCAATATGGGTCCATCCGAGTTATTAAATCCACCCAAACCATGGAGTCGAGTTCGATTTCATCACGAACTCTCGGAGCCGCCCGTTGGCATACCCTCTCAAGGGAGGCTGCCTTTCTAACGCGTCCAAACTCTTAACCATGGTACCCTTTTGACACCCAAAGCTTGACCAATAGTTGAACATAGATCTTTACCCTAGGTTGCGAACTTTTTTTTACATCATCGTGACTAAATGCTACATGGTTTGTTTGGTGCTAACCTTCATGTGTTTACTCTTTTTTGTTTAACTCATGACCGAGGGTTTTTATTTCCACATAGTAATGAGTACGGACCTAAAATTGACTAACATCTGGAAAAACTCACAAAAAAGATCTAGAACTACGCACCGTGTCACGGCATGTCCTGTCGCGCCATGGTGAACAGTGTCGTGACACGGTGCTTTCTACCGTCATACGGTAGACTGTACCGTGTCACAACGCTCAGGAAAAGTGTCCCGTCAGTCTTTATTCGGTTTTTGTGTGTTTGTATGTTGTTTATGTGTCCAGTTTGGTGTCATGTCTAGCTGTACGGTCATAACACGCGTCCATAACCTCACTTCATCACTCACATGTCCTGTTCACACACTTTAATTTTTTCGTTAATCGGGCACCACTTCTTGACCGTATTTTAGGGTAGTCTTTTTTTTTGTGTCGTTCTTTTTTCAGAGTCGGATAGTATCCTCCCATTTATTTTATTTTTTAAAAAAAATAAATAGAATTTCAAAATTATAGATTTTTAAAATTCAATTTTTTTTTTATCCGGATGGGTTAAGGTTAAGTTTGGTCATTAAAGGTGTGTTTGTTTCGGTATCACGACACTTGGTCAAGAAGCAGGGTTAGATTGTTACGATTCAAGACAATACCTCAACAACCTCTTATACCAAAGAGGCGTACAAGGAAACCACCACAATCATCTCCACAAGATCCATCTCCAGTCTACTTTTAACCAATGGCTACTTAAGAAGATATCAAGAACATCAACAGGACAATTGAAATGTCGTCTAACATGATGCAAACACTCACCACTAGAGTAAACACGGTAGAGAAAGACAATCAGAACAGTGTCACTGCCGCTGCATTGGACAAGATTAAGGAACAGATGAGTAAGATTTCTGAAGAATTCACTTATGTGGAGCAACCTGTCGCCTCTTCGTCCATAAGGGACAAACTTCGTGAGAAGTTTTCCACTGTTGACATTCCCAAGTTCATGCCTACTGATAATCCGCTTTTCCATTTGAAGGCTTTTTCTGCGACCATGGCTCTTAAGGGAGTAGATGTGACACTCTTTCCTATGGTATTCCCTCTTTCCTTAGAGCATGCCTGTTAACAATGGTTCTACTCTCTAGAATCCAAACATATTACGACCTGGGAGGATGTTGCTGAAAGCTTCATGAATCGTTACAAGTGTAACATTCAGGCCAAGATTTCTGAACGTGAACACTCCATTCTCAAATAGAAGGAGAATGAAGGCTTCACCACTTATTTAAGCAGATGGAGGGAAACAGTTGCGCTCTTGGTGAATCCCCCCAAGGAAAAAGAGATGGTTCGCTTGTTCATTGCCAATTTGACTCATAAGTACAAGCAACACTTGAAGTTTCTGCCTATGAGTACCTTTGAAGCTGTATATGATATTAGAATCAATATCTAAGATGAGTTGATGAAGACTGCAGGTAGCAGCAATAATAACAACAACACTTGGAAAAACAATAAGTACGACACTTCTTCTTCTTCGTCTTCCAAGCCCAATAACGCTACCAACAATATCAATATCAATGATGTGATGACCCTTAATGCTCCTCCTCAAAGATTCCAAAGGCAAAGGAGGGTTTATACGCCTTTGGGAATGACTTATAATGCTGCTTTTGACCGTTTGCATGGTCAAGGACTGATTATGCCAATTGGACCATTTCCAGAACCTCGACCAGAGAACAGAACCGCTAGCTATGACCCCAATGCTTATTGCAAGTTTCATCAAGGCAAGGGTCATAATACTAAGAAGTGTTGGAGATTAAAGGATACGATCCTAGACCTAATTGATGCTAATCAACTTCCTGTCCCTCTAGGGGGCAAGAATCCTAACATTCAAACAGGTCCTCTTTTTGATGCTTTGGCTATCATGGGAGATGAAGTCTCCTTTGCTCCGTCAGTACTCATTCAACCTGTGAATGAACCTCTGCCCGAAGTTGTATTTGTCTTGAGTTATGATGAAGTAAATGGAATTTGGGATAGTGATGATGAAGACGTCTATCTCAAGGATATAGCCTGTTCATCTCTTGGCATAAGTGAAGATGTTGGGGAGACCTTGAGGTCAAAGTTCTCACCAGAAGTGGACGGTTGCAACAACCTAGTCCACCTCCCTCCACTGCAATCACATCAAATAATTGATCCCATCGACCTTGTGAACAGCGATGTGGTCAAACAATTACAAAATACCAAGGTGGAAATGAATGTATGGAAGCTTTTGGCCACCTCTCACGAGCATCGAAAGGCTGTGATGAATGCTCTAGTGAAAATAGGAGTTGATGATGATATAACTCCTCAAGGGCTGGTCAACTTTCTCACTACTAAGTTGCCAAGTACTAATAATTTGATTTCCTTTTCTGAAAAGGATCTACCCCCGGAAGGGGACAAACATAACAAGACCTTACACCTCACTGTGGTGTGTAGGCAGATGAATGTTCCTATGAGCCTGGTTGATAATGGCTCTACAATCAATGTATGCCCACTCCGCACTGCAAAGAAGTTGGGC